AAGTAGGTTATGTATAATCTATCCTAAAATAAAACAAAACCTACTTACTTAACATGCATATCGCAACTGATAGCTAAAATACAATTTCAGGTTACTCGCTTAGATAGGTCAGCTTACAGGTTAATGTATACATAAGAGCTATATTTCTCCTAGGTCGCATAAGATGATGAATGACTGATAATTAAATTTTCACAATGCCATGCGAGGACTCACTCTTATACTGAAAGTCATATAGCCTTCCTTCCAATAAGGTATTATCCTCCCGTGTGCATTGCAGTTTCGACCTCGTCTATGCTAATCAGCACCCCTAGCATGATTTGAACCTAAGATTGAAATGTTTAGTTTCGGCACGTTAACGACTACGCTACATTGCTGCAAAGACCCAATGGATCGCCGGACCGTCGGGATTTCAAAGTAGGCCAGGCTTTTTCGATATCAAATTATTCGAGTATTAACTTCGAGGAAGCAAATTTGTATTTACTATTACACTTTGCTTTGGTTTATGCGAACAAAGATCGTTATTAATGCATACTAATGAAATTATAAATATCCATGGCTTATAGTTAAAAAATCTTAAAGTTTTACCGAGCTGCCTTTAGGTGACACAAAAATACAAGTTTAACATAAGAATCAATGTTAGTGTTGAAATATTTTATTTGCTTTATATAGACGTTGCTCACATTAATTTATGTATATAAATAGGCGAAGGATACGTATGAACATTAGATCCAGATAGAGCAAATACTTGAAATATACTTTAATCTCTAAATGGACTATTTATGCCAAAAATTAAATTTCACCTTACGAATTTTCGACAGTATCATCATTTCTTAGACACAGACCCAAAACATATATAGAAATTAGCGTTATTTTTACTATAATTCTCTTTTTACGATTATATGATCATCTTAAAGATCAATCTTTATAGACTTAAAAGTCAGAGAAATGTAAATTACAAGAAAAAGAATGAGACAGATGGCTAATTAATCTTATATCTCTTCATTGACTTGTAGGCCTGATTAATTGCCCTTTTTCTATGCTCATTAATAAAGTGCTGCAAGTAAATACCCCTGGAAATTGATCTAGCATATTAGAAACTCATATTCTGAATAGGTATCATAGTTCTACTCGAAATAATTATATCTAAATATAATATCTGCAGAAAGATATGAAGACCAGGATGGTGTTACCTTTTGTGTGGTCGCGGTCTCCTTCCGTTGTAAGGAAGTTGTTTGAACTAGTTTTCCTAACTTGGCCATCTTGACAGAAAGACCTAGAGGAACGCACCTCGTCCGGAGTCCATAGGATGCATGCTAATTTCAAAAGTCAGACCGTTGACTTGGTATATTCTCAGACGGTTTGCCGGCATTGTATTTGGCATCGGCAGTGAGCCCTGCCATACTTTACTTAACACTACAACACGTCAAAAGAGACGAATGAGGTCGATCCTTTTACCAAATGTGTGCTAAATATTTGTGGTATCTCTCATTGTGTACTGGACTATTCACATTTCCTATATTCTCGTATCACGCCTGTACTGTTACAATTATTTTCAGTACTTATTTAGATGTAGTGTAATGTCTATTTTTAGTCAAAAACTATAGCCTTCACCACATCTATCCTGTTTCTATCCGTAAGTATGATGGGACTGAATACTGAACCTTATCTCGGCACACAAAGAAAGAGGAGTGATACCAAAACCGTTTCGAAAGAAATTTTGGTCAAGTTATTGACTTTACTTGTCTCTTTAACGATTTTTTATCTTGGTAATGAAAATGGTAAGAAACACTGATGATGCCGACTATGAGGTCGACAAAAAGTCTGGAAATATACTAAGTCCACAGCGTGACGTTAAGAAGTATGCTAATTGCCGTATCAAAAGACTTAAGGCAAGGTACGCCCAACTAAATCTTACTGACAGCACGACCAGTGTGTGAAAACGAAGTCAACTAACTTATATGCCTCGAAAAGAAACTGCGACCAAGCCGAGGGCCACACCATATTGGTATTCACATCTTTGGCTTGAGTTATATAAACTGTTAGGTTGACTTTTATTTCGTATGGAAGTGAATGAAAAAGAGATTCCTTGGTCGACCCACCAGATGAGGACGGATGAATCTCGTTGTACTGGAAAAAGAAAAAATAACTATCCACAAAATAGGATAGAGCTACCTAAACAACCAATTTTCAATAATATATTTTAAAAATTTGTTTGCATTTTTATTCTACACATTTTGTATTTAAAAAAAGACGTTATTATTATAATCATGTTGAGTTTAGGCGCGTAGATTGAAGCACTCCCTTGCCGCGACAACCACATTTCTAAACCGGCGAATTTTGAACGTAGAATTCTTTATATACTATTTAAAAATCTAACGTGTATTTATACTATTTATAGTTTTTATTTTTCATACTTTGGGAAATCCATAGACTATTGGATACTTTAAAATGTTACTTCTCCCTTATTCATGTGCTACTAGTCCCTCTTGCTAACCCACAGCCCATTTTTTTTAGCTTGTTGTCCGGATTATTTAGGCTTGGAAAGGCCCATATAAGGGAATGCGTGTTCATATAGTATACAGTATCTGACACCAACATGCATAATTTGCTATGTAGACTTATTAATTTTTTTATTTCTCTGACAGTTCCTTTTTCAAGGGTACTTTGTTGCCACTATATATATTCCGGATATTCATATTTGAAAATCAACGTCTAAAAGCTCTCGAAATACGTATTGTATAACATGAATTATAGATCGCATCGGCAAGAAATCTGTTACATATTGCATATTTAAAATAATAGAATGCTATTTCATTATTTTTCCGACACTGCACTTACATTTGATTTATCCTGGCTGATAGATCAGGTCGTATGCTAACTAAATCTTAGTCTCTATTCCTTCGTGTCGCGAAGGCAAACACATTCGAAGCTGTTTCTCCTGATGAGTTCGTCTGTTTCATGTATTCCTCTTGGTGGCATTATCAGTTTCATTTTTCCAAGGTCTTGTGATACTTAAATTTACCTGTAGGAATTTTATCTGTTATTGACTTTTACTATTCATATATCATAGCTTAGTACGAATATGAAATCACTAATTAGGTGGAGGTATTTATTTATGTATATTGCTTTTATTGTTTGCTATTCCACTTTATTTTTATTTGCCTATTAATTTCGTTCTTCTCTGCAACTATTATGAAGTTTGAAAAGAAATTATTTATTTTAATTTAGATGGCTCTTGGTCTTGTCCGTCTGGGGATGATTCAAATGCGTGTCGTCCTCGACAAATCGATGAATTTGACCCGAGCAACCGAACTGATCTCTTCCGCCTCAGTCGATAAGTCTGGCCGGCGAACCCAACTTATCTGCTTACCAGAATGCTTCAACTCACCATATGGCGCCAAATATTTCGATACTTATGCGGAGCCGGTTCCGCACGGGCTTACCTGCAAGAAGATAGCAGAGGCAGCAAGGTTGACCCCAAATTATATCATTTGACTCATCTTTATATATGATTATTAACTCATTAATTCCTTACAATAATTTATTGCATAGCCTTGCGTGAAGTAATACTCTGTGAAAATAATTGGACCCAAGAGTGATGTTTTTCCTGATTGATTTAATTCCTCATTTCTTTATTATCTGATAAATATTGCTAATGACTTGCACAAACCCACTAAACTGACAGACTTAAATTTCTCCCAATCTGTTCTTTGTTCGATGGATGTATTCCATATGATATTTGTCCACTGGGCATTTCCCTTTGCTTAGTCGAATATATGCGATAGTAAGTTTCGAAGATCTTTGTTTTATATTTGCTATATTCTATTTAGCTCTACTCAGCACTAGTTTATGTAAACATGTGCGTTTTATTGGCCATCTCTAATTAAACTTAGCATTTGAGATTAATTTTTGCACCTGATTAATCTTTTTCAATGCGAATGGGCATGGCTGTGGTTGATTACGTTGTCCGTTTTGGTATTCCTCTGATTAAATTACTCTATTTTGCTTCGCACAAAAAGAGTTCTTTGATTCTCCTTGGTATTTATTTAGATATGATATTCTCTTGTTTATATCGGGCCTCGTGTAGATCCTCATTTTAAATTTATTCATCTGCTTATCTTACCTTTTTTACCGTTCTTTTATTCAGGAAGAATAAAGTATGGGTCCTTGCAGGCTCAATTCCTGAGCGTGGAGATGATGGAAAGATATACAACACGTCTGTTACCTTCGATTCTGAAGGAAATTGTGTTGGCACTTTTCGAAAACTTCATCTTTTCGACATCGATGTTCCAGGTAAGGAAAGCTCACTTAAATTTAACTTACTGGTTGATTTAATACATATAAATGCACACTTTATTCTCTCTTAACAGCTTAGTTTGATCCTTTTTTTCCATAGCTTATTTTTGTCGAATTTAGAGTTTTATTTACTTAGTAAGTTGTTCCCGAACTGTATCTAGCATTTATTTATATATCCTTCTAGCTAGTAGCTAGATTTTGTGTAAGCTGTATCTATCTATTTAGGGGAGACGTTCATTTCGTATAAGAGTGAATGAAAAACGGATTCGTTGGTAGATCTCACAGGATAGGGACGGATAAATCTCATTATGGTGCAGCCGTCTGGCTTTTATATGATATTCATGTTGACGCAGTCCGCGGGAT